ACTGCAGATAAGAGGAAGCAGCAGAAACAAAGCATCCGGGGTCTGAAATAACACAGTGATCATGGAGAGAAGTGCAGAGAGGGGAGTGACCAGAAAAGAGCAAACTCAACCATGTTACAGACGCTTGTCTTTAAAACACCAGATGCACCAAGAAGCACTGATGGCTTCCAAGACTGGTATTCTGGACCTCTCGTTCTGGTGTCTTTGTAGAAGGTGGGATCTGAAGGGGGCAAATGGAGTCAGAGTAGTTCATCTGGAACCAGTCAAGAGTTCCTATTTGCAATGCAGAGAACCTGAATTACAAGTGGAGATGCAGAGAGGGCAATAAGTTATTTTCTTTATTCACCCAATAGTTATGAAGACCCACACTATGCCAAAATATTATGTAAGGAGTTAGGGGGTACAGAAATGAACAAGACCTGTCACTTGGTCCCAGCCTTCTAGGAATTTAGTCTATATAGGAACTGGAAATAAAACTTGTGATATAAAATAAGATGGTTTGACAGAGAACAACAAAATTCCGTACATTATCCTTCAATAAAAAAATAAAAAAACAAAAAATAAGCTGGACTGTAAGCAACATGAGGCAAGAAGTGTTTATCTTCTTCAATGCTGTATCCCTAGAAGCTAGAATAATGGTTGGTATATAGTAGGAGCTTTATACACTTTTAAGCCTGTAAATAATCACTTTACAGCTTTGAGCTTCAGAGTGCCAAGGAGCATAAACAGTTTTGGCAAGAATGATGAAAAAGCTTCACAGAAGATCTAGATCTTGTAGAAAGCTGAAGCTTAAAAGCTGACAAACAGAAAGGGGATCCCACACACAGGTGTGTGTAGAAGTCTGGAAGAAATTCATTGTGCTATTGAGCAGAGGTTCACAGTGGAGAGTGATTTTACTGTCCCTCTCTTCGTTTGACCTCTCCCCTCCCTGCCAACCCTGCTCCCAACATCCAGCAATGTCTGTGTTCATTTCTAGTCGTCACACTGAGGGGAGTGCTCCTGACAGTCCCTAAGAGCCCCCAGCTGGTTCATCCCCCAGGATCAACCTGAGGTTGAGGTAGTTGTTACTAATTACTGCAAGCTGCTCTCTCACTGGTTCATCTGATGGGAGTGGGCACAGAGGCTACTAAATGGGAATCTTCTAAACCTCTGCTTTTCAAACGAGGGTTATTCCAGAGTATGTAACACCCTGAGATTCCCTGGAGTATCAATTTTACTTTGGAAAATCTTGGGGATAACCTAGCTTTTAATTTTAGAAGGGCACTATATTATTTCAAAGTCAAACACAAGACATCCAGAGAAATTCTGTAAATGCATCAAGATTTACATACCACTGCCATCACCCCTATCACCCGGGGGTATATCCTTCACTCTGGGTCCTTAAGTGACCTTTGGTGGGTGAGTTGTAGAGCAGGAGGGCTTTCCTGGTGGCTCAGCTGGTAAAGAATCCACCTGCAACGCCTGAGACCTGGGTTTGATCCCCGGGTTGGGAAGATCCCTTGGAGAAGGGAACGGCTACCCACTCCAGTATTCTGGCGTGGAGAATTCCACGGACAGAGGAGCCTGGCAGGCTACAGTCCATGGGATTGCAAAAAATCAGACTGAGTGACTTTACTTTTTAGAGCAGGAACTAACCAGCACTGAAAAGGGAGCTCCACTCCATTCCAAATTTTATTACTTTGCAATGATTAAGCATAGATTCTTATTACTATTCAGATTGAGGAGATGGTCACTTGTGGCATGATATGCAGACAATGTCACAGAAATTAGTCTCAAGTATAACCTAAGACAGAATGTTGAAGTGTCTCCTAGGAGGGAGCAATATTTCCCATAAAACACAAATATTTCTGCTTCCTGCCCTCCTTCCCCAGATTAGAAACACAGGCAGCCATTGGTTATGCACTTTGAGAAGGGGGTAATGTAGGATTACAACCTGGCTATAGTCAGCTTTCCTAAATAAAAATCTAAGGTTGCTTTTATAACACTGGCTTAATTTTTCTATTATTAAAAAAAAAAAAAGTTGGCTACACCTTTTGGCTTACGGGATCTCAGTTGCCCAATCAGGGACTGAACCCCAGCCATGGCAGTGAGAGCACTGAATCCCAACCACTAGACCAACCAGGGAACTTCCTCCACTGGTGTAATTCTTCATGCAACTGCTACATGTAAAGCTTGTTCATGGAACAACTGTCCATGGGTCTAAAAGGTTGTTTTCCAAAGTACTACTCATGAGTACTATAGGCAGAAATTTGTGTAGTGGGTCATAGGCAGAACTTTTTAAATGGCATGGAATAAACTCACATAACAAAGATAGAATGCATAGTATGATCCCATTTTTGTTATAAAGAGACACACATCTGATATGTTTGCCTATTTTTATGTCTCCGTATAAATGTAAAAACTATGGAAGGATATAAATTTTAAACATTGTTTACCCCTGGAAAGTGGAAATGAAGAGCATACAGAAAGAAAGACTTTTCAATTAAACCCACCTTCTGTAAGAAGTCTTCTCTAGCTTATCTGGTTGAGATTCTTTTATCAATTTTCTTACCACCTATACTAAAATTACATATCTTCTTTTACCCACTCATTCATACTTCCACTGAACAGTCAATGTACTAAATAAGCCCCGGGGAACAAAGACAAATACCACCAAACATCTGCCTTAAAAGAGTGTAGACTAATGGGAAAGGCAGATACATAAGTATTTTAATTATAAAATAATGTGGTAAAGTAAAGGGTAGGTAAAAATCAACGAGGCAAAAAGATATGAGAGACAGCGGGGACATTATGGTCCCAAACTGTGACTCTAAAACCTTTTCAGAAGCAAGAAACAGCACCTCCAAGTGTTTATAGAGCATAAAAAGGATGAGGCTGGAAAAGCGGGCAGGACCAGACCATAGGAAGGCTACTTGTATGCTAGGCTGTGTGCTGAGTCGCTTCGGTTGTGTCCGACCCTTTGCGACCCCATGGACTGTAGCCCACCAAGCTCCTCTGTCCATGGAATTCTCCAGAGAATACACTGGAGTGGGTTGCCATTTCCTTCTCCAATGCTACGTTAAGGCACTTCAACTATCCTGAGGACAGTAACTAAAAGATCTGAAGCAGGAGAAAAATGTAGCTGACTTTTTTATACAGACCACTCTGGAGGCTAGAGAAAGGATTTAAGGAGACATAACTTGAGGCAAGGATTAAGTTTTTATGACAAACACAAAACCTTTTAAAAAGTGTGTTTCCTTTTCTTTGTGGAGTGTTTCGTGGCTCTCACCCCATCTACCCCATCAATTATATCACAGACTGTAATAAAGAGGCTGAGAGACACCACACCTGCAAAGGGTCTACAACCTCTGAGGACCTACCTGTCCCCCACCCCAGGCTCTCCCACAGTATTTTAAAAAACCTCTTTCATGGCACTGTAAGGTGCCACGCTCCTCTGCATTTGTTTGGACTGTACATACCTCTCCAGCCTGAAAACTAACTATACCACTAGATTTTTTATAATTCCACATACTTAGCACAATCTTTGTGAAAAAAAAAAAAAAAACTGCCCCAAACAACTTAGATCTAAATTTATAATCCTAACCTCTTTGAATGCAAGACATTTCCAACTGGCCAGTAACTGTCTCCACCTGATGTCCTGTTAAGATTCTCACATTTACCTAATCCAAATGGATTTCCTTACATCGCCCACCCACTACCAAACTAATCAGGCTTCCATTTCATATTGAGGTATTTATCCCAACCCTGAATCATGTTTACTCTCCCTTACTTGTCATAAACACTCAGCTGCTAAATGTACATCTGTACCTCTCCCCCATTTCTCTCCCTTTTCCAATGCCCTTGCTCAAGTTCTGATATGCTTCCCTGCCTCTCCCTGTGACCTACCAAACCTACACAAAGACTGTCATTTTCCCACGTCAAGTAGCTAGAAAGTTCACAAAGAAGGCGCATGCCCTGCTTTACTCACTGCTGTATCCCACAGCCCAAGGCTCCCAATGTGAAACTGGCACCCAATGATTTGCTTAAGGAATGTGCTCCTTGTCAAAAGCCTCCAGTGAACCTCTATACATAGTAAAATTAAACTCAGCAACACATTCAGTTGATTGTGAATTGAATTCAGTTGATTGAAGTCAGCCTTTCGATCCTAGCTCTCACAATGTCCGCGCCCCCCCATCGCCGCCGCCCCCCACCTTTCCTGAGTGCCTGGTACTAAATACGCTTACTCTTTCAGTCCTTGTCGAATTCTCCCTCTCTAGTTCTACCGATGCTGAATGGTTAGTGTACTTGCCAAGTACAGAACTTGCTTCTCTTCCCATTGTGTGTGTCTTCCAGTTTCCCCACCAGGTGTTGGTGCCAGCAGATTAAGGGCAGGACCTGTGTTCCTAGGCCGGTGCCTGGCCCACCAGAGGCCTCAGTAACTGTGATATGAACTACGATACGAATCAGTGAGTGAACGCGTCCCTTGAAGCCATACCCCATCCTTCTCTCCGCCAAACAAACGGTAAGGGGTGGGAGGTGCACGGAGGCTACAGGAGAATACAACGTCTGGCTTTGAGTTTTTTAGTAGTTTTTTTTTCCTTTTTATTGAATACAACAACATGTTGGAAAGAGCACAAGTCATAACTGCGAAGTTCCTCAATTTTCACAGATAAGCATACCAGTGAAGCCAGCACCAGACTGAGCACCAGAGCATTACCAGCACCCAGAGGCCTCCCCGCGCCCTCTTCCGAGGAGGGCACTTTCAACCCGGCAAAGAGCTGGAGAGCTCGCGTCCTGGGCCCTCTAGCAGCGGTGCGCGACGCCCGGGAATCGAAATGCCCCCAGTGCTGGCAAACTCTTACCCACGAATTTGAAACGACTCATGACTGCAGCCCCACGTTCTCCTCGACGGAAGCGGAAACGGCCTTGTATCGCCCCGTCCTTCCAGCAGCCCCGCCCCCTCGCCGCTGACATCCGGTTTCCCGGGAGCCCCCGGGGCTGCTGAAGGTGAGCCGGCTGTTATGGCGTTCTTGTCTTCGGCGGCCTATCTGACCCACCAGCAGAAGGTGCTCCGGCTTTATAAGCGGGCGCTGCGACACCTGGAATCATGGTGCATCCACAGGTGGGATATGGGGAGCCAGGGCGCGGGGAATTGACCCCGGGTGCTGAGAGGCCCTTGGTACCGGGCGGCTCAAGGACTTTGGGGACGGGGTGGGAACACGGCCCCTCGCCCCCATAAGCCCGCCTCTAGACCCGTGTTCGAATGCGGAATTCATCGCCCACATCTGGGAGACCTTGACTGGCTCCGGGCTCAGTTTTCTAATCAGGAAAACGGACACGGTACCCACGCAGAGGGTTGCATAACAATTAAGAGGCAGAAAGTACCACAGTGGACTTTGTTGTCCCTCCAGCGCTCACTCAATAATAGCTTTCTTCCTATTGTAACCTCTTCCTAATATTGGCAGTAATAACAAGTGCGTTCTTTTCTTTATTCCTCGCACTCCTGGGAGTTAGGGGTGATTTAGCCTTATTTTATAGATGAGAAAAGGCAAGAGAGTAAGTTGCTCAAGGCCCTGAAGCTGGTAAGTGGCCTAGCCAGGGTTAAAACTCAGGTGTCTTAACTCCAAAGCATCATCATCACCCCCACCCCACTCCCATCAGCTTTCCTCTTTATAGCTTCATCCAGTCCTTTTTGTCAGCTTCATCCCACATAATTCTTTACCTCCCGCATAATTTTCTTCTTCCCTCTCTTGTCCATCTGGAACTAGTCTTAGATCACAGTCTTAAAACACGGATTTTTGTGATCTAAGTGCAATGCATGCTGGGGCAACAACCCAAGATGTATGAATGCAAGACCTCTACTTCCTTAGCAGAATCCTAAAACCTAGTCTAAGGAGAAGGGCTTCTGAGGAAAACTTCTAAGCAATAGGAAACTGAGCATATCTGGAAAAGCTGTGAAGGGCATCCTTGAAGCCCAGATTTTATATATTTGGGATGATTGTAAGTCATCAACTTACTTCTCTTTGCTAGGCAGCAGGATGGTGAGGTTCAAGGCTGTAGGGTTCATTACTTTCCTAATTTTTTTTAATTCATGACAGAATTTGCTATTCAGGTTCTATGCTGGCTGATGAATAAATAAATGTTAACAAGGCTTTTTTCTTAGCTGTAGCAGTTTGTGGATTAATGGGGAAGATGGACACATGTAAACAGCATAGGGAATTATCAGTTTTATAAGATGAAGGAAGTCAAGCCATCAAGAATTTAGGCAGTGCTGAACTACATCTGGGAATATTAATATTAGCCTTGGAGGAAAGGATAAATGTATTTACCATGATAACACTAACTCAGCGTTCCTTTAAATCTCCTAACATCTTTTTCTCTGTACTTTCCTGATATTTTTTTTCTTTCATTTGCCTTCACAATGCTATTTGTTCTGCATGGGTCCATTCTAGACACTTGGTTATTGCTGTGTATGCCTTGTGCAGCCTCATCTATTGTTGGGACTTGTCTCTAGAGCTGTATTTCTAGCTATTTGTTAGATTACCTACAGTATGCTGAAGCTGACTTTTATTTTCACTACCCCATTTTGACTCTTTTCCCAAATTCCCTGCCTCAGCTAATGGCATTACTAGTAATATAGTCACTGAGCTTTAGGTCTTAGTAGTATCTTCAGGTGCTCCAAATTTACCCCTCTGCCACAGATACACACGTACATACTTATATGCCATGTACAACTGGACACTAATTTTTGTAAAGTCTCTTCCCACTGTAATAATATTAGTAGTTGACATTGAGCACTGAGGATGTGCCCAGCACTGTGTGAAGTGTCTTTATATGTTTTAGCTTATCACATCTTTAAGGACAGCCTGAAGATACAGATAATGTTATTAACACCTTAATGGAGGAGGAACCCATGGCCTAAAGACTTTAAGTAATTTACCCTAGATCACACAGCTAGTAAGTGCAGAGCTAAGACTCAGTCTTAAGCAATCTGATTCCAGAGCCTGCTCTCATAAATTTGTAGTTTAAATGTTTCACTCCTGTCACCATCCATCACTGTGGCTTGCTTCAGGCCCTTATCATCTCTGGTCTGAATTATCAAAGCCCTGTTATTACTCAGCCATAAAAAAGAATGAAATAATGCCATTTGTAGCAACGTGGATGACCCTAGAGATGATTATACTAAGTGAAGTAAGTCAAACAGGCAAGACTAATATCATATGATATCACTTACATTTGGAATCTAAAATATACAAATGAGTTTAATTATGAAACAGACACACAGACAAAACAAAACTATGGTTATCAAAGGGGAAGTTGGGGTGGAAGTATAAATTAGGAGTTTGAGATTAGCAGACTATTGTCTATAATAAGGATCTGTATAGCACAGGGAATTATATTCAGTATCTTATAATAAGCTATAATGGAAGAGAATATGAAAAAGTGTATGTATGTATAATTGATTCACTTTGCTGTACACCAGAAACTAACGCAACATTGTATATCAATTATTGTTTTAAAAATTTAATAAAAAAAATTTTAAGCCCCATAAATGATCTCTGCATCTATGGCAGCCCACTCCAGTATCCTTGCCTGGAAAATCTTATGGACAGAGGAGCCTTGTGGGCTACAGTTCATGAGGGTCGCAAAGAGTCAGACACGACTGAGGAACAGTTTCACTAACACTTTCTAGAACCTGACCAGAACTTGCGTAAGGTCATGCAGCTAGTGTCAGATTCAGAATTTGAACCCAGGTCTGTTCTGAGCCACACTGTGCCACCGTGTAATACCTGCCTTCCACATCTGTATCCAGAATTTAGCTCAGTGTCTAGCACAAGGTAGGAGGAAGTTAAGTAAGCTGTCATTCGATGAATTGAATGATCCTCCTATAGAGGAGATGGGGAAAGAAGTTAGGCTGTGTTTATTAATACAATAGTTTTTTGCTGCTGGTGTTTGAGGGGGACTGCCAAGAAAGCTGTCGTAATGATGTGGCTGTTCCATTGACAGGGTCCGGGGAGGAGCTGGGAAGATGCATTACTCACCTGGGAGGCATTAGTGGAAGTACCCCTCTTGTCAGATAACTGTCAGATAGTTATACTTCCCGATCGAGTAGATTACATTTCTAATCTCCAAAACCATTTTGGTTTAAGGGATAAATACCGGTACTTTGCTTGCTTGTTGAGAGCCCGGTTTGATGAACATAAGAATGAAAAGGACATGGTGAAGGCCACCCAGCTGCTGAGGGAGGCAGAGGAAGAATTCTGGCATGGTCAGCATCCTCAGCCGTACATCTTCCCTGAGTCTCCGGGGGGCACCTCCTATGAGAGATACGAGTGTTACAAGGTAGGTGAGGACCACAGGTGTGTCAAATTTCAAACCTCAGCCCCGGAAACCACTCGCCTTTTAAGGGCAGCTAGATTTCCTTTCTGACAGTTACATGTTTTTTCAGTGTCAGTTTCCTCTCTCCCAGATGCTATCAAGACTTTTCTTTCCAAACTCAGAGCCAGGGTCTTGCAGTAAACATTTTGACAAAGGAAAGTGCTTAAGGAATGGGTCAATAACTCATTTTTGGATCTTGAAGTTAAGCAGTTTTAATTGGTGCTTAGTATTCTAAGTGGTATTTCCAAATAACATAAAGCCACATTGGATGTTTAGAGAGCTTGGGTAGCGGGGGGACGATGCCAGTTCTCTTTGGACTGACCTTGCTGTTTTTCGGTCCTAGATTGTTTCAGTCTAAGGTGTTCTCCTTTATTTTTGTCTTCTGCTATGTATGGCTTAGTGTCAGAAGCAAGTCTGGAACTTAGAATTGTTATAAAAATACATTGATTTTTTTGTCTCCTGAGAAGGCCCTCCCAGTGACATGTAAATGTGTCTTGTGGAATGACGCTGTGATTTCTCCTCCTGACAGGTTCCCGAGTGGTGCTTAGATGACTGGCATCCTTCGGAGAAGGCGATGTATCCTGACTACTTTGCTAAGAGAGAGCAGTGGAAGAAACTGCGGAGGGAGAGCTGGGAGCGGGAGGTGAGTCTTGCCTATACTTTCTCTTTCAGGTATATTCAATACAACATTTACAACCATCATAGAAATAGGTTAAATGTGTTTCCTGGTCTTTGGGCTTTTCTGTTCTTTAATTTTGCTTCTCTTCTCCTTCCCCTCCATAATCCTTTGCTTGACTTTATAATCTATTAACCTTCTCCACCAGCACCTTGGGTGTTTTTCTACTCGTGATGACTGATTTATGTATGTATTTAAAACTTAATTCATTTTTTGGCTGTGCTGGGTCTTGATTGCTGTGAGGGCTTTTCCCTAGTTGCAGCAAGCAAGGGCTACTCTCTAGTTGCTGTTTGCAGACTTCTCATTGCAGGTGGCTTTTCTTGTTGTTGAGCATAGACTTGAGGGTGTGTCGGCTTGAGTAGCTGCAGCTCCCGGGCTCTAGAGCACAGCCTCAATAGCTGTGACACACGGGCTTAGTTGCTCTGTAACATGTGGAATCTCCCTGGATCAGGGATTGAACCTGTATCTGCTGCATTGGCAGGTGAATTCTTCACCACTGAGCCACTAGGGAAGCCCTGATTTATGTTTTAAAAAATTCAGTCTGCGGTAGTGTGAAAAATAAATTGGAGAGGGCAAGTGGAGAAGGGAAGAGACCAGTTTGGGTTATTGCAGTAGTTTAGTCCAAAGACTACACAACCAGCGCTAGGATCAGTATGGTGGATGTGGAAGGAAGCAGCTTCAGGATGTTGTTTGCAGGGATGTGAAGAGGGATTGGATTGGGGTGGGGGGTATCGTGTGGAGTGAAGGACAGGGAAGAATCAAGAATGATTTCCAGGTTTTAAGCTTCAACATGTGGAGTTTGGTGGTGGTGTTTATTGAGATAGGGAAGAGAAGAGAAAACAGATGTCAGGACAATCAGGTGTTCGGTTGTAAATGTTTAAAAATGTTAAAGTTGAGAATCCTGTGAGACATCTGATGCAGGTGTCAGACAGTGACTGAATGTGCAAATTTGGAACTCAGAGGAGAGATTTGGGCTTAGAATAGAAATGTGGGTGTTATCAGTTGTTTTAAAAGCCACAGAAGAGGGAATGGGGGCCTCTTCCTGGTTCCCTCTCCACAGCAGAGGAACTGGATTAAGTGGAGGCCGGCAGAGAGCCACAGAAAGGTTTGAGATCCTTAGATCCAAGAGAAAGTGTTTCAGGAACAGTGGCCAGGGTCAGTCATCTTTGATGTGGTCTAGAGTCCTGGAAATAACATCGAAAGGTGTTAATTACAGAGAGGGCATTAGTGGCCCTGACTTCAGCTTATCTTTCACACAAAGATTGATCGGAAGGTGAGGAGGAGAAAATGTGAGGGAGAGATGACTTGAACATTTGCTGAGGAGAACGAAGAAATGGGGCAGTAACTGGAGACCGAGAGATTACTTTCTTTTAAAATAAATAATGATGCATATGTACTGGTGAGATTTGGGGTGAGGGAGAGTCTAGTAATGCCGAATCAAGACGGAACAGGTACAGAAGGAGAATTTTTGAGGATCCCGAGCCTGTGTGGGGGCCTTTGAAAGGAGAAGGGATTCTTCCTCCATTCTTATTGGACAGAAGCTGTAGGTAAATACTTTTGGGTTAGAAGTTTAGATGGTGGGGAAATGACAGACTTTCATGTGCGGGATTCTCTTTTTTAAGTGAAATAAGGAAAAGCCAGGGAGTGGGCAAAGCATGTTTGTAGAACATGAAAAGGTGTGATAAGCGTGGGCAGAGGATGAGTTTGCTGGAGAGGAGCAGCAAGATTGCTGTGGGGTGGTGAAGGCCCATGTGAGGCTGGGAATAAATGTGTTGTGACTCCAGTTTGTTTCAGGAATTTTTTTTTTCTCTTTAGCAATACTAAGCTGTACGGGTGCAGGCCTGAAGGTAGATTGTGTGGCTGTTCTCTGTCAGGAGCGACAAGGAATTGAAGTTCCTCCATAGGGAGTGATTTTCGTGATGGAGTCTAGCTGGGTCAAGTAGGGACGTACACAGGAGACTGATGCAGAGAAGGGCCAGTTAGGTGGGAGAATGTGGGAATTGGGAGCCTCTGTGAGTTCAAGAAGTTATGTTCAAGGGGCCTTTAAGTAAATGAGCTGGAAGAGGACACTGGTTACTGGGATATTGGGTTACTTGAAGTCATGATTTTGTGATCAAGGAGGGCAGTGTTTTCTAAGAAGTATGTGAGCATTTGAGAACTTGAGGTGTGTTTGTTCATGGAGAGCAGCAGATTCATTTTGCAGTTGATCGCTTTGATAACCTCTCCCCAAAACCTTCCTCCTTTACTTATTCCATCGACATTATTAAACAGCACATGTACTGTAGCCCAGGTTTGCCACAACCCAGAATTGGTTTTCTGTAGGGAGGTTCAAAAAACCATGGCTCTGGAAAGTGGGTGCCTTGGCTCTCCTCCTCTATAAGGACAGTGGTGATCTCTGAGATTCGCTGGAACAGGGGTAGCTAGGCAGCAGGGGGCAGGACTGAGCACATTTGTACCTGATTGCTATTTGGAGGGCTTTTAAATTAACATCCCTAATGTATTCAAATTGAGGTTTCTTAATAGTGCTTTCGGAGACCACTTTGCAGAGACACGAGAACATGCCGGGGGGAGTGGTCAGTTGAAGGGGCCATAAGGGGAACTTGGAGTAGTAATTGTCAGGGTTTTGCTTAATGAGTAGGAGGTGGGGTAGAAGGGTTTGTTCTCAGCTTTGCTGTTTTAGAATGGGAAAACCTTTGAGGAGAACAGCTTTTGCGTCTGAGTTAAAATACGGGCATAGAAATAATGCAGTTCTGTATAAACAGCCCTTTTCTGTAGTGAGGATCAGTGTCATGTGACAGTAGAAACAATGCTGACACTGCTCCACAGCAGAGATCGGACCGTCAGTTTGACTCCTGTTCTAATTGTTCCCTCTTTACTGCTCTTTTAGGTGAAGCAGCTGCAGGAGGAAACCCCGGTTGGTGGTCCCCGAACTGAAGCTTTGCCCCCAGCCCGAAAGCAAGGTGACTTGCCCCCTCTCTGGTGGCATATCGTGACCAGACCCCGGGAGCGGCCCATGTAGAGGAAGATGCCTCACAGTCACGCTCGCAAGTGAGATGAGTTAATAGGACACACACTTGCCCTAATAAAATAACTCCACCTGGTATGACTGACGTCTTCTGAGGAGTGACATGCTGGATGATTGGGCCGCTGTCATTTTCTTAGCAGTTATACATATAAAGAAAAGTATGTGAAATGTAGTCGGTCAGATGTGTTCTGTTCATCCCCATTAAGTCATATTGATAAATATGCTATCAAGGGAAAACTACACAGCAGAACCAGATACAAGAGTTACTTGAATAAACTTGAGCTGAAGGCTTAACTCAGCTGTAACGAGTGAAAGGCATGAGAGGCTAAGAGAAAGCAGGCCAGTAGTGAGTGTGTAAGATAACTTTCCTGTTTCCTAGATTCCACTCATGGAATTTTAGCTTTGATCAAAGGACCACTCTTAAGCACACGTTCAGCAAATAAGCATGCAGTTTATGGGGTTCTCAGGATTGGAGTTTGGTGGCTGGGGTTAAAGCATTCGATCTGAATGGCACTTCTGTGACAGTCGTTTCAAAGGCAGATTCCCAGCTTTGCTTCCTCTACTGTAGCTTGGATTGTCTGCAGACACAAAGGTAAGGGTGGCAAAAACTAAATGAAGTTTTTTTTTTTTTTCTAAAGGTAAAGCCATTTAAAAAATTCAACCAAACCCAGCTAGTTTCAGTTCTTGGTAACTCACTGGAACTGCAAATATTAAACTCACTGGAACCTAACACTTAGGTCAGGCAACTAAGTGTTCTTAGGGTGCACAGAAATGATGTCAGTTTTCTAACTAAGCTTGATGTGAGTTTCAGCCCATCTTCTAACATTTGACCAAGACCTCAGCCTGAATTTTAATAAGACTTGAAATGCAGGGCTTTTTTTTCTAGTGGTTCTTTATTTATAATGTAGGCTGAAGCAACTGTTACAAGGTAGAAGGGAGACACGTTACACAATTGTTATTTATACAAGTTTAGAACAAAAAACTGCACAGGGAGAGGTCAACTCTCAGTACAAACTAGCAACTAAACCACAATAATTTACCTTTAGAAACGATTTCTTTATTTTTAGCTGTGACACTGCTTTTACAATATGCAAAAACACAAACAGAACTACCCAAGGTGTTTTGTCACATTCTTTCTACATTGAATTTGGCAACATTTTATATTAAATTTATTCAGATTATACTAACGTTTAAAAACTAAACAAGTGAAAAGCTGTACCAAGGTACAGTTACATCCATTTATTTCAAAGGTTTAAAATACCACTTTTATCTAACGTAATTACCTTGCAGTGATTTCTGCTTTTGCAAAAACCATCTCAAGCATCATATGCACAATGCATCAGCTACTTTTAGTCATCAAGATTGGTGGGCTAAACCACAGGCACTACTGTTGCTTATATTCTGTAAAAGGAGCTTGTTTTTCAAAGAAAAAAAGCTTAAATAGTTTCTAATAATCATGCCTTTGCTTTAAAGCCATAACATAAAATGTCCTTGAGCGATCACAGCAGTGTTAAATGTTAATATATAGAACAGTGACTATACAGGTACATTTCTTTCGCATCCAATGCAGTTATGTATTAAAGCATGAGAGTATGTAGCCGAAGCTTGCCACCAACAGAGATCCACAGGCCCTGGGAGACCCACCGGGCTCTTCTCCTTGAGAGGTTCGATCCCAAATGAGCACTTTGAACTGACCCCACTAAGAGGCCGGCCTTCTTTTTCTTAAAACACCATCACAGTCCCCAGATGTGATCCTTTAAATCTACAAATCTCTGTTGGCTTTAGGGGATGGGCATTATAACAAATTTAACTTTCACTTAAAAAATAAAAGACAGAAATCCATTCCAAAAAACATTACCTAGGATACAAAAGAGGACAGTATAGTGGTCAGATTCCAGGTGACAAGAAAGAAATCCTCCTCTCTGATGTTTAGTATGAAGCCAGTTAACTGCCACTTATTTAAAAGAAGATAAGAAAAACAAGCCCCCAGACTGGTAAACACATTGGCAAGTTGCTAGACTCCAAGCTGGTTACCCTTGTTAAATCCGCTCGAGTTTTTTCAAAATATTTGGGCTTTTCAACGCACCCAGCCTGCTGGGCACAGTTAAGTAAAAGGCATTTGCTATATCTAAGAATTCCCTGCTATCATTTTTAAATGTTTTCACATTTTTAAAACTGCCTTACCATTTTGGATGCATTTGGACTCAATGAGAGTGGGTATAACAGACGAGTAACTGAAGTGGGGGTTCTGTGTCTACCCGGTGGCCGCATGCACAGGACTGGAGGTGGGTGCTGTGTGCAGTCAGGAGGAATCGTGGGAGAAAGGAAGTCCTTAAACACCCTACAGAAACAAACACTGCAATCCAGTATGGCTTATTCGGATGCATTTACCATGAAGCTACTAGAAATTTCAACCTACGAGGCTACCCTTAAATGTAACAGGATCGGCTATGTTGACAGTGTGCCCCTCCCCAGACCCTCCCCCCAATCCCAACACAGTCTACCATTTCCAGAGTTACTTCACTCCAAATATTGCTCATCAGCTGACTCCCGCATTTCTCATCCCGAAAGTAGTTTGCTTGGATAAAGATTTTTACTCCTTACCCATTTTGTTTGTACACTAAAATAACTTGAATTTGCTCCTAAGCCAGACTACTACAATGCATCTACAAAAGCTTGCAGGAAAACAAAGAAAAGAAAAAATGCTAAGTATAGTTATCCTTTCTTCTGAACTCACTAACCTTGTGGTTCCCCTGCCCGACCTCCCCCCGCCCTTATGCATTTAAAATTTTACAAAGACTTGTAAAAAAGTTAAATGGAATTTGGCACCTTCAGAAAAATCAAAAGAGAAACTTAAGATTAAAATGTGCAGAAAGAAAACTGTTGATATTTACAAATTAAAAGATCAAGGTTATGTCAGTTACATATGTTACTTTTAATTCTTATCTAAAGGTGTACTTTCAAAAGAGCTGTGTTCTGAGTTGCCTACAAAATCTTTTGATTATAGATTGGAATGGATCAAGACAAATTAGGTCTTATTAATTAGACAGTTCATTCCCCACTGGCAGCATTTCTTGAGAGCCTAAGAGAAGCGCGGGGCTGAGCGGTCATTTGTCGTGGTCTTCTTCAGTTTCACGCCCCTTCGGATGGCATTCAGCATGTCTTCTCCTTGCGGGACGTCCCTTGGGCTCAGATCTGCAGGGTCGCTCTCTGGAACCTGGCCTGGGGAGGCAGTGGCACTTGGGGGATCCTGGTCTTCGGCCTCGCTTTCTGGAATCGCCTGTCTGTGCTCCTCGGGGATGCTCGGCTTCGGGCCTGGAAGAGGGGGGTTGACGGAGGCTTGGCCGCTCCACATTGAGGCTGGCACGCTGGTGCCACCCTGGGGGCCCTCACCCACAGACGGCGACTCTGGGCTGTGCTCACCCCGCTCCTCGGGCCCATCTGGAGGGGCTGGCAGCACCCCGGGGAGGTCTGGGACGGTGGGGGTCTTTACAGGGATCACGGGTGTCTTGATGGGGATGGGACCAGCTCCTATGGTCCCCCGGCGGACAGAAGGCTTGGTGGAAGGGGTCCGTCGGATGGTGGCAACCCCTGGGGTGACCATAGCAGGTCCGAGGGTGGTGGGAAGGCCCGCGGTCGAGGCCGGGCGCTTGGCTTGGAACATCCTTCGATAGGACTGGCTGATGTCGCTGTTTCTTGGGATGGTGGAGGATTTGTCAAACTCCTGCTGATCAGCTTCCTGGTCACCACTTACAGAGAAATAATCGTAATCTGAAACTGATTATAGGATGCGATTAGAAATCTCCAAGGTGATGGCTGTGCTTTTTCATTCTGTGTTGGGAGGACAGAAGGCCCCAGAGGCCAGGGACTTCACCCGCAACTTTATCCCAAGCCTCCCTGGGTTTCCAGGCCCCCACCATCTAAGAACTCCCTAACGGGGATTGTCATTTTGTTCACCAAGGGAGCCCTGAGCACCCAGAGCAGAGCTGGACACAACAGGCCTGCACTCAAATGCCGCTGAGCTGGGAAGGACGCAAAACTGGCTACCTCTGAGAACCTCTGGGAGGAATAGAGAGGGTGGAAGGAGGAAATAACCTCTCCAGCCTGGAATATAATGTGAGAAACAAACCCCACATGGACCATACAGACCTCCCTCATGATCAGCTCACTAGTGCAAAGACTAGAGAAACAATGGAACTGGCAACAAGTCTCTGAAACCTATGCACAAAGACAGGTTCCATCAGTGCAGTGTGCTCACCTCCTCCCAACACAGGGTCACGTGGGAATGGGAGGCGTCCCGGCCGAACACCTCAGAGTGCGTTTCTGAACAGCGGCACTCTGGCATCTGGGCCAGGTCAGTCCAGGGGTGGGGGTGTGGGGGTCTTTGGGCTGTATTACGGGATGTTTAGCAGCATCCCTGCCTTGTCTGCTAGAAGCCAGCAGCACCCCCTCCAACTGTGACAACTAGAAATGTCTCCACATGTTGCTAAGTGTCCTCTGGGGAGCAAGACGGCCCTCCACTGAGACCCACTGTCAGAGACCTCCATGGAGGACTGCCAGCAGGCTTGGCCAATGCAGAGATCTCCTAGCAGCTGCGATGCCATCATGCTGGCCTTGCGGCTGTCTGGGGAGACGGGTCAGAGAGGCGGTTCATAGAGAACTTGGCTGGAACAGGTTAGGAGTTTGGGCTTCAGACTCTTGACAGATCTTAGCTTCAAACTCTAGCTCTGCTGCTTATTACTTGTGTGAACCCTGGGCCTTAGTCTCCATGTATGTAAAATGAGGATAAATATACACATGGGCTTTCCAGGTGGTGCAGTGGTGAAGAACCTGCCTGCCAATGTAGGAGGCGGTGTTTGATCCCTGGGTCGGGAAGATCCCTTGGAGGAGAATATGGCAACCCACTCCAGTATTCTTGCCTGGAGATTCCATGGACAGAGAAGCCTGGTGGGCTTCAGTCCATGGGGCTGCAAAGAGTTGAACACAACTGAGTGAGCACGCATACATGTTATAGAAGTGGCTGTGACAAATAAATGGGACAAAGTGCTTAGTCTGTTTTTGTCTGTTTAGTGGCTCAGTCATGTCTGATTCTTTGCAACCTTGTCCACGGGATTTTTCAGGCAGGGATACTGGAGTAGGTTGCCATCCTCCTCCAAGGGATCTTCCTGACCCAAGGATCAAACCTGCATTGGCAGGTGGATTCTTTACCCTCTGAGCCACCAGGGAAACCCAAAGTGCTTATTATAAAGTGCCAAACACAAATGATAAAGTACCATTAACAGCATCTTGTGTTCACATTGGGAACTGCCCTGAACCCTGAAGGTGAAGAACAAGCGAAGCTGTGAAAGTCTGGCCACTTCCTTGGATGGCAGCTACCTAACAATCACAGGCAGAGCCTTCCCGAGCATTCTAAGATGCTCAATGGTGTCTGGACGGACGTCTGCCTCCTCTCAGGAGGGAGGGCCCCCCATCCTCACCTGACACTGCTCAGGAAGCCTGGCTGGAAAGCCTAGGCTGCCTACCTTGGGAGGGGATGGTGTCCTCGGAGCAGCAGGGGGTGGTGGTCTGGGTGCTGTAACCACTGGAGCACTGAAGCGAATCCCGGCTGCTCCTCTGGGTGTCCAGCTGGAGGCCCCGAGACAGGGCCAGTGCCAGCTCCTCACAAGCCTCCACCTCCTCTCCAGGCTGCAGTGGGAGGAAAGAGACGAGCCCCCGGGGCCATGAGTCCCTGTCTGATAGCCCCAGAGCCTTTCTGCTCTTCCAGTGGGGCCTTGTCTGGATCCTACTCTGTTCCCATGACCACCACTGGGTCTGTGGGCCCAGGAGGCTGTCAGCTTGCTTGGGCCCTACCCAGGCTCTAGAAAGTTCTAGAGTCTAACTCCCATCCGAGACCTTCCCTGGGGGCCTTCTAAATGCCATAGACCAGGGAGTTGGGGAAAAGGGCTCGGGTCCCTCCAGCCGCCGGCCAGCACATGTCCCCTGGCCTGGTGTGGAGGGCCCCGGCCAGCCGAAGAGAACAAGAGCGTCACCCTGGTGGCGGCCGACACGGTCATGCTCCTTGGCCTCTGGGCCTCCTCGGTGGCGGCGGGGGCACCTCCTGCCGCAGCGGGGCCTCCTCCGCTGGGGTCTGGCTCTCGCTTCTCTTTGCGGCGCTGCAGGGTGTTCACCAGAGGCTGATCGTAAGGTCCTGGCTTGGCCCAGTCCTGAGTGGAGCAAGCGTGGTCAGGCGCCAGAGCCTTGGCCTCCACTTGGAGGCCAGAGAACCCCCCAGGCAGCTGCCCACCCACGGAAGGCGGCTGGTCCCCGCGGGGGAGCTCACGCTGGGACAGGCCAGCAGCCCCTTTTCCCTTCACCCAGTGCTAGCAGAAGGGAATGGACAGTCCTTTGGGGACCCCCTGGGTACCTCTCCTTTCCTCATATCTGCCCAAAGACAGAAAACCCACAACAACTGGGCAGGGAGCCTGGGGGAGACTCTTACAGCCACCAAACAGCTGACCAACTGCCTGCCGTGTCTAAAGGCACCAGCCAGTGGACAGACGTCCCCAGGGACTAGGCCCTCCCCCGATGTCTGAGGGAGCCCCTGGCCTATGGGCTCAATTGATCGCACTTGCATAGCCTGGCCACCAGGGGCACTAAAGAATGTCAGACACTTTCCCTGAGGCGGAACCTCACTTCAGGGAAGCAGCCCCAAAGGGCACTTGGGGACGTGCCTTCTGAGGTCCTCACAGAGGAAGGGAAGGCCCCTGGGTTGGAAGAAGGATTCTGAGGAGTCTGAGAGGTCTGCACCACTTGCTCAAAATGCAGGCTGCCTAGAGGCCTACTATTCTAGTTAGGGACCTCTCGAAATATCCTCTGGGCGTCAATTGTACTTGCTAGGAAATAATATAAAAACTTCTTTTTATATTAAAGCAATGTTTATTGCTTTGAAGCAATGCCTATTGGTTTATATGTCTTAATATAAGCCATTAAGACTGAAAATAAAGTCTGCGTGTACTTTGAAGATTTAAAAAAAAAAGCCAAAACTATCTGGGGTCATGGTTCTATTACCATGCCCCGATAAGGGACTCAGGGGAACAGTCTGGGGTACACAGTCCCCGTATCAGCGGCTCCCTCAGGAATCCCCCAGGAGGGCAGAGCCGGGACGTACACTCAAGAACCAAACATCCCCACCGTGCTCCATCTGGGTCTACTGGGGCCTAACCGGGGTTAACTGGTGTCTCCTACAGCCCCTCCAACCCCAGCTCCGCGTGGACATCTCTGCCTCAGCGCTGCCTGCTGGCTTCTGGTACCCCCTGGGAGAATTTACTCAGGGAGGAGGTGTTATGGGGAAGAAGGCAGAGTGTGAGAGGAAGGGGTTGAGGGGCGAATCGGGGTGAGAATCATGGGGGCAGAAGAGGGGTGAGCACAGAAGCAATGAGGGACAGGGGAGAGGGCGGAGAGACACAAACCTTCCAGCTAGGGATCTGAGATGACGGGAACATGCCGGGCCCAATGGTGTAATAATGAGCGTAGTCTGGAAGATGGACAGAGGTGACCCGAGGGAGCAGGCGGGAGGCGGGCAGGCAATGAGGGAAAAGGCTCGCCCCTACGGGCCCCACATGGGACTCACTTGATAAACTATAGTGAGAAAACCCGTTAGACAACTGGAAACAAAAAAAGGGGGGAGGAAAAAAGGAAAAAAAAAATTAATACAACAGGATGAACGTGGAGGTACAAGATGGCATTGACATTCAAGGGACAGGGGGGACCTGAGTATTTACAAATAAATGTCAGGGACTCTGCTGCTCATGGACAGTCCATGATGCGAGAGAAGAGCTCCAGGGGGCAAAGAATGCATGTTTATCTGACACCAAGCATTCAGTGGGGGAAAATACTGTATCTACTTTTAGAATAGTTTGGAAATGATCGGTGTCCCTAATGTGCAGTGCTCAATGGTCTTCGATTATTCCACTAATAATTTCACGGTGATGGTGATATGCTCATCTCATTATGCAGCTTTCAAAACTCAACACCATCAGCTGAAGCTGTTCGTTCCAGGTTTCCAAATCATCAGAGTGTTGAGGAGCAGATTCTAAATTGGGGCAAAGAAGCGGGGGCTGCAAACGAAAAGGCGGGAAAGCACACAGCCTCTGACGCGGTGGAATGTCACATCCAACGACAGGGTGACGAGGTGGCCACGGCGGGGGTGGGGGTGCGGGGGAGGGGGAGGAGGAAAGATGGATGACCATCCATGTGCTGGGAAGAAGCCTTCACACCTCCGAGTTCCCCATACCCCTTCCTCTCCCTCTGGGTGACCGCAAGGTCACTGCTTCAGGAGCCAGGCACCCCTTCCCGAAAAACCCCTCAGTCTCGTCCCTCCCTCTGTCCCGAGAGAGGCCGCTCTTGGTGGAGATTTTGCATTTCTGGGTTCCTGCGGCTGGGCGGGAAGCAGCTGGCAGAGGGGGTGTCGGGGGAGAGGCTGGGACCCCAGCCGGTCACCTTCTCCGTGGACGCCCAGGCGCCCATGGTGGAGCCTGAGCTGACCGAGGTGGGCGAGCTGCACTCGCTCACCGACTGGCAGGTTTCCGAGGCTTCGGAGGAGGCCGAGCTGGACGAGTTCTGCAGCCGGGAGGGACCACGCGCGGGGACCGCGTGCCGCCACAAAAGGACACCCGTAAAAAATAAAAAGATGGGGGAGGGCGGGGGGGGGGGAGAGGAAGGTCACTCAACAGAGAGAGAGACAGACATGCACAGAGAGAAGGATGAGAGAAGCAGAGTTAGGGTTATTTCCCCCCAAAGCTGCGCCCACACAGAGGCTTCCAAGCCCTGGAAAGGAAGCGTGACGCCCAGTGAGACCCAGACCCGCCGGACTGTGGGTGCCCGGGACCCTGACGTCGGGGTGTGTGTAGTGCATGGGCTGCGTGCCTGGCCTGGGGGGAGGGGCCCTGGTCACGGTGCGGGGCTCCTGTGTTCCCCAGGGCATTTCTCCCTGTGCCTCCTTTTACGTCTCTCAGGTGCCCGGGAGTTACTACGTGAGGACTGACCCTGCAGCTTGGGCTTTGGCTCCACGTCTGCCTCTTGTTTAGTCACTATGCCACGTCCGACTCTTTTGTGACCCTATGGGCTGTCGTCCGCCAGGCTCCTCTCTCCATGGGATTTCCCCAGGCAAGAATACCACAGTGGGTTGCCATTTCCTTCTCCAAAGGATCTTCTCAACCCACATATTGAACCTGCATTTCCTGCATCGCAGGTGGATTCTTTACCACTGAGCCACCAGGGAAGCCCCTTGTCTCCTCAGAATGGCTCTAATTTCCGGATTCTCTCTCTCTGTCACATGCAGCCTCTGGATCCCCAAGGGGTGGTTTCCAGCTGTGAAGCTGTATCCTCACAGGACATGATTTTAGGTCTTTCTGCCTGGGGGGTGATTTTGAGGCTGTGGGCAGTCAAGTCCAGTGGTTAGGGCAATGTTTCTAGTGGCCGTCATTGGGAGGATGAACCATCCAGTAAGATCTGAGACATCACAAAACTGAGGTCTGCCTTGACAAAACATCTCTTCAGGCTGATCTGATTATAAACCTCCAGTCCCTACCCGTCTCCCAGTGTCAACCAAGCACCTGCTCCCAGGTCCTAAGCTTCAGCCGAGGCAGAGACTGCCTGTTAATTCATCACTCCATCTTGACATACTGGTCCTGTCCTGGCACGTGGCAGGTGCCGGGCAGTGCTGAATGGATGAGCATTTCTTCCATGTAACTATGTCCCCCTGGGGGGCATGCTCTGGGCCCACCCAGACATGTGCTTTCAGTTTTCTTCTGTTAATTGCAATCTCATCCCATCCGTATAAGCAAGTCTGAGCCTCTTTACTCTCTCCCCGGAAGTGTCCCTGTATTCACTGGCAAGGAGGCCAGACTCACGTTTCTGTCCCCCAACTTTCACCCACCAAAGGAAGGTTTCTCCAGCCTTGCTGTGTGTGTGTGGATCAGGCTGAATAAAGCGAGGTCTCAGCCTCCAGTCATGTCAAGGGGAACAGAAGGTGGGCTTGTTGGGACTTACTTAAATCTGAAAGCTGGTGCTCCCATCCTGCAAGAGCAAGGAACCAAAAAGGCATTCCATGTGCACACGGCTCCTCGGAGCCAAAGCAAGGGCAGACCCCACACTGGAGGTCCCGGCTGCTTCCCCAGCTCAGTGTTTGGTTAGCAGTCCAGGATCTGAAATCTGAAAGTTTGAAGTCCTTTTTCTACCACTTCCCAGGCTAGGAACCATGGGTTTAATCTCTCTAAAACCTCATTTTTCCTCCCTCTTTAGAATAGAGATCAATAATATCTATTGGATGAAGATTAAATGAGATCATGTGTGTGTGTATCTATGTATGTAGCGCTTAACCAACTGTAAACAAAAGCCAGTTACCATTATAATTTACCAGAACTACTTATTTTGGCTCCTCTAATTAAAATAAGTTCAATTTGAAAAAAAGAAACAGTAAAGCACCCCAGGACTACAGGTTCTTATTTCCTTTGACTGCTGCTCATTTTTTTCTGAAGAGCCCCTTGAGTGGATGGAGTGGACGGTTCTAGGCAGGAGCCCTGCTGCAGACGTGGCCCCATCTCTCCTGGGCACACGGGCACAACTTGTAAAGAGCAGAGTGGAGGACAGTGGGAGAATCCTGAATACATCCTGCCACGTGGCGTTCATTTACACCCGTGAACCTGAGGGATCGCCCCGCTTATGGATGTGTGCTCCCTTTCTCCCACCCAAATAAAGGTAATAAAACTTCCCCTAGGAAACTACACCCTCTGGCCTGTGTGAGGTGTAGAATCTCCTTAAATTTCCCCTCTGCCTTCGAAGCAGCCATAATGCCTTTTTCAAGAAAAACAGAATTCTCAATTAAATTCTGCAGCATCCCTGAGTTTACTCAAACTACCCTAGAGTTGCTTAGCCAAGCATTTATCTTAGGCACTGGCTTTCAGATTTAAGTAAATCCCAACAAGCCTGCCTTTTGTTTCCCTTGACATGACTGGAGGCAGAAACCCCGCTTCATTCAGCCTGATCCACACACGCACAGCAAGGTTGGAGCGCATGGCCTCTTTTTTTAGAAAGGGGTGTCAGCGCATGATATTTTGTTAATGCATCAGCTGATTAAAAACACACACAGAAGACACTGCACATTAGAAAAGCCTTTGAGGAGCTGCAAATCCCTGCTCCCTCTCTGACCATGCTCACTCGAGGCTCACGAGACACGCAGGTGCAGTTTAGTGCCACACAAGACGGGACCTCTTAGACAGTGAGCCAAAGCGCCCCAGCTCGGACAAGTAGAGGACTTAAAGCTGCAGCTCCTAGCTCCGAGCATTTCTGTTTAAAATTGAATCTCGACCCTAGGAAGACAGAGAGATGCAACAGTGCCCCTGGGGACAGCTGTGAAATGCCAAAGGCGGGGCTCCAGGCTGAGCGGCCCTGGGTTCGCCAATGTCAGACGAATCATGCGAGTGGCTGTCTGGCTCCCAGAACATGACAGATGCTTCCTTGACGTGGAGTGCTCCCCAGAACACTCTGCTAGGGGCACCTTACGGCCAGGGTGGTGCAGAAAGGCCACTGGACCAGTTGCTAACACCCTTGTTTCAGATCCCTGACTAGAGGTCATACAACTGTGCCACTCAGGCAGGCTGCTTCACATCTCTGAGCCCGTTCCCCCAACAAAACAGGGATAACGACACTGAGTGGCTGCTGGCAGGACTACACAGGTAACAGGCAGGCGCTCCTAGGATGGTACCCGGCACACAGGAGATAGTTGTTGACTGTCAGGCAAATTGGATACCTGGATGAACAAGACAAGCACGTGACCTTCTGAATCCAAAGGATCTCGGGCCAAAGGCTGTGGTTGGTCTCAAAATGTATTATATAGGGTTGACCAAAAAAGTTTCTGTAACGTCTTACTTTGGAAAAACCCTAATGATCTTTTTGGCAAACCTAATATGCAATGGGCTCGCAGTCACCACGCTCCCCAGCAGATGGCGCGGAGGGGACATCCTGGATGTTCACGTTTCCTGGTTGTCCGTATGCTGTGCTTACCAGTCTAGAGGCCAACCCACCGACACAAAAAAGGGACCCAGCGAAGCAGGTGAAGGGTGTTCGATGCCCAGCTCCTGCCTTCTGCTCTTCCGCACCCACTGGGCTGGGCATTTTGTGCCATCTAACCCAACTGTGTTCAGAGACTCAACACCTTCCCTTCTCCCAGGAGGAAGGTGCCAACAGAATTAGCTGCATGGCCACTGAAGATACTTTCTTGTTCTCATCCTCATCACAAATTGACACAAGGAAGCTGAAAATGCCAAGGAAGGGCTCCGAGGCGCTGTTCAACAGCAGAATCTCTGTCCCCTTGTGCCAATGGGGTAATGACTACATCATGCCAAGCTAGGCACAGGGACGCCAGAGAGCGGCCAAGACGCTGAGTCTGTCTACGTAAGTGTGAAAACTCTCCAATGGCGTGACAACCATCACCCGCATGGTGATCATAAGCTTTGAGTGAGCGAAAGTCACTCGGTCGTGTCTGACTCTGTGAGACCCCATGGGCTGTAGCCCGCCAGGTTCCTCTGTCCATGGGATTCTCCAGGCAAGAATACTGGAGTAGATAGCCGTTTCCTTCTCCAGGGGATTTTCCCCACCCAGGGATCGAATCCAGGTCTCCTGCATTGCAGGCAGATTCTTTACAGTCTGAGTTACCAGGGAAGCCTGATCACAAGCTTTAACCCCCACTTACCTTATCTCTCCCTTTAGGGGATCAGCTCATCTAAAGATGAGAAATTAAACCAGAGGTTCCCCGTGTCAGATGACCAGGGTCTGTCCAAGGTCTCTGGTTCCAGCCATCAAGGCTGATCCAGGGCCTCAGGTGTGGCAGCCGCTCCTGGGGCCAAGGGCACCCTTACCTGGTTGGGGGCCTCAGGCGGCATGGGGGACGGCGACTTGGACTGGAAGGCGTCCTGGGAGATGAAGCCTGAGTCGTGGGAGGACACGCTGGACAGCCGCACGGGCGCCTGCTGGGCCAGGCTGGAGCCGCGGTAGCGGTAGTGGGAGCTGGGCGAGTGCGAGTGGGAGCCGTGGGAGCCGCTGGACCGCGAGTCGCTGCTGTTGACGCTATTCAGGCTGCTGCGGGGGCAGCGGGACACGACAAGGGGTGACGGGGAGAACGCATCATGCAACCAGCCCCCAGCCCCAAGAAGCAGCGCAGCGCGGAGGTATGTTTTCAAAACACCCAACATTAAGCGAGTAAACAAAAGGTCTTTTCACTGTGAGCAAGGGGGAGAACCAGCTGTGGAGACGTGGTTCTCCGACAGCGCAATGAGGCATCTTTAGGATGGAAGGCTGTGATTTTAAAGAGTCAAGTGCTGCCCAGCTCTGCTGTGTCATCGACCAGCAAAGCCAGGGGACTCGATGTCTGAGGCATGAAAAAAGTTCATATCCTCTACTCACAAAAACCACATGAAGGCTTCAGCATGACCTAGTTGGAGCACCCAAATGTCTTCTTCAGGTGAACCATCTGGATCAACCTGGCCAACCATCAGTTGGCACCAAGAGATTTCTCAAGGTGATTGCATCCTAAATGTGCCTCATTCAAGATACCCGTATGTGAGGCAACTCTGTGTTCATGTGTTTTACATTTTATTAGTATTAACAAACTTGGTGGTTTAATGAATGGCTTGACCCTGAAGACAGGTACTTCTCTGTTCAACTATCTGTGAGCCCAGCAAACAGAACACCCGGCAAGAGGCAGGGAGCTCTTCAGGGACTAAAGGTCATCAATCGAAGCTGTTTGCTTCCAGGATGGAACAGTAAACAGGATGTTGGAAAATGACACTTGCCCTCTGGACTTCTGCCTGTTCCATTTCCAGTCGTAAGCAGTGTGTCCTACACTCTAATCACTCAAATTATGAAACCCAGAAAACTGAACAAAGTCTCCTGGCCCAAACAGGCAGAGCTGACAGATAAAGGGCAGCTGTAGCAGCATCAGAAGGCATGAAATAAACAACCCAGACTGGGATTAGAAGACTTGTGGTTTCTGCTCCTAACTCCGCAAGAGACTCCTGTCAAATTTCACAAACTCGGCCAGCTAATAAGATAGTCAAGGGCTGACTACCTTGTTCTGGTGTTCTATACTGGAATGACTTGGCGCTAACGTTCCAACAGAGGAGATCAAGGATAATTATCATGAGTTTTGCTTCCCCGCCCCGCCCGTCAGCCAGAACAGGGCATGTGGAGACTGACAGCAAAGCTCATGGCAATTTCACTACAGCAAGCTCAGGGCTGGCGGTGTCCATGCGACAGGATTTTCTGTTGACACTAAAACTACAGAAAGAGACTCACGCAGCTTTGTTTTATACTAACAAGATACAGTTTTCTTCGCTACCAAACAAAGAAAAAATCCTCAACAGGAAAAAACCTCAGAAGATGTGTCACACACACACACACACAGCACAGAAAAGATGACAAGAAACCACCCACCATCCTCGGGCTGCAGAATGTCAGGCTGTAGCATCTCAAGTCTGAACTTCCTGCTGCCTCTATACTGCACGAGCTCAAACATGAAATCAAAGACACACAGACACACGTGTGCAGACAGAGATTCCCACACTCCATCCTGTTCTTTACTCTCAACGCCAAGTCACAGGAAGAGGAAATCCATTCGGCTTGGCAAAGTCAAAGAAAAAGATCAGCAGGGAGAGTGTACCAAGAAGGACGTGATGCATGAGGGTGTTTCTACCCTCACGGGAAGAGAATAACCAACTTGGCCGTCAGCAAGTAAAGAACGGTCTTGAACAGCACGCTGCCAGGGAGCAGTGTTGCTGACCGATGGCAGGACTATTCTGATGGACCCTGAGTCACCAGGTTAACAATAACAGTGATGGTGGTGGTGGGAGAGGTGAACAGATCAAGGATTCTATTCACTTTGTGAAGCCCTGAGACAAAGACTGGGGGGCGGGGGTGGCAAATGAAAGCAGGAGCCACTGTCACTGCCTTCACCTGTTCTGGCCACAGCGAGTGGCGTCTGCACGAGAATCGACCCCTGTTCACCCTTTGGGAGCCCATGTGGTTCCTACTCTGCTAAACAGGAAAATCCAGTGAGAATTCATAAAATGGGGAGATCTGTACCATGTACCCTGAGAGAGAAAGCTGTGTCTACCAATTTAAGGTCTGATGGGATTTTTCCTTCTAACCCAAAATTAATTCCAAAACTAAAGAGTGAGTAAGACCAGAATCATGATGGGATCCTTTCACCCGATCGCCATTTCCTGTTTAAAATGCACTATTTCAGAGCCCAAGACTGGCTCCAACATTCACAATTAGTGTAAAGCAAAATGCCACATCCCCGAGGCAACAGCCCAGCCTGGCTTTACCTACCTGCAGACACTTGACTTGCGGGACATGGTGGTGCTCGGAGAAGAGGGTGGGGTCTGGTATGACCAACTGTAATCAGAACCTTTCAAGTCCAAAATCACCTAAGGGGACAGAGCAGGAGGGTCAGCAAAGTGCTGAGAAGGGAAACGTCATCCATCAAATGTTAACAACCGTCATAACATCGAAATTCCACCATCATGGAGGAGTGGGGATCAAAGAAAAATATGTTGTGACGTTTTCTTTTCAATGGAAGAATCATAGTACCAATCCATCAGTGTCATAATCCTTTTTCTGAGACAAGCAAAGATATAATTAATGGGGAAGGGAGAGGAAAACCACAACATACCTGTCAAAAAAGAAAAAGATTTACAGTTGCAATCCACAAGAGACATTTACACCAAGGAAATTTATAGGGATTTTGTTTACAGCACAACACAGATGATAATGCTTTTAGGATGTGTTGATCTTACACAATGGACATGAGTTTGAGTAAACTCCAGAAGTTGGTGACGGACAGGGAGGCCTGGAGTGCTGCAGTCCATGGGGTCACAAAGAGTCGGACACTACTGAGCAACTGAACTGACCTTATATCTTAGCCACTTGATAGTTACTCATGTCCCCATCTGACCAATAAAACCTGACAGAATCAAGAACAAACCAGTTCTTTCATAATGACTCCTACATTTGTCTCCCTTACTTGACAAAGAGCTAGTTGAATGTAAGCTCTAGTTTCTATTCACATAGTAGGTGCTCAATAAATATCTGCTTACTGAGTGAATGAATGCCTGCAGGCTATAGTCTAATAAAAGCAATTTTGCAAGATGGAAAATATAAGCTCCCAATTTGTCTGCTGAGCTGGCTCCCAAGGCAACAATAAGAATTTCATATGAAAGACAAAAGCAAAAGCATGTGATTTTTCAGCTGTTGCCCTACTGAACACAGTATTAATGTCACATGAACCAAATGAATCAACACAAAGTCACCTTTTTCATAAGTGAGATCCTCATTCATTCCTTACTTAGAATGGGAGAAATCCAGAGAGAATGATTTACAGTGATAACCAAGAGACCCCACTGTCATGTTCCTAGGGGAGTTTACCTCTAGAGGGTCGGCAAACACATGGTTAAGAGCATGGGCTGAGGAAACTGAGAGCTTGGTTTAAATCCCAGTTCTACCAGTAACTGCCTGGTTAAGTGACTTTTATCTTTCAGTGCTTCAAGGTCCTCTGTACAATGGGGATAATGGTGGAGATTCACAGAGGAAGTCTATGTAAGAGCTCAGAGCAGGGCCTGGCACACAGTAGGTGCTCTATGATGACCTGTGAGGATGACAGCCACATATCACAATGTAAAACACGGTACCATTTCAGATGAGATATTGCCACAAGGAACCCTCAGGACCTTGAACCTTCATCTCTTGGGTTTGTTTTGAGCACCTATCCCAAGACGCCTACCTGTTCACTTGAGGAGGGCAGTTTGTGAGGGTCCATGGTCAGGCTTTTCAGATCTTCTGATATGGTCTGCAGGTGAGTGATTTCCCCCAGCATTGAGATTTCTTCTTCCTGAAAGTAATTTACAACCTGTTACTGTGCACGATTCACTTTATCATCTGGATCCAGCTGTTTCTCTTAGGGACACTATCTATACTTTCAGCTTTTCAGAAGAGGAGCACAGGGACTGATACATCCGTGCTGAAGCCATTTACCAGCCCTTTCTTTGGGGAAACGGAGAACAAGAAATCCGCCATAACCACGGAGAGACTTGTGTGCTCCGCTGCAAACACACGGGCCTTCCTAGAAGTGTCTGGGGGCCGGCACCCCTGCTGGGGGCAGGGGTGGCGGTCTGCCTGTTGTTGGGATCCTGCAGTACAAGCCCCCTCCGCAAGCCAAGGCGTGCCCGCCCCCTCCCCCTGGAAGTCAATTGGCTTCAGCAGATAACACCATTTGGGGATATTCTGGTCCAGATTTGAGAGACCGAACTGCACATGTGCATGTGTGTTCATTGGAGGTTAACAGCCCTGTCTTTGTTTTTTTTTTCATCAACTTAATCAATGGCAAGTGAGGCAAACTATGGACTGTGGAAGAATGACATCACCAAGGAGCTAAGCTGGGGTTGTGGGCCCAGGTAAGAACGATTCACGGGAAAGCACTACGCTCAGGGGAACAACTCCGATCTGGGCATTTTGCATTTTTATTAGCCTCAAGAAAAGCTCCAGCAGAACTTTTCAAGGCATACAACTGATTGACTTCAAAAATAAATCTGCATGGATTCACTGAGGCTTTTCCTCTATTAACCTCACAGTCACTCCTTGGCACTCATCTTGGTCACCGGGTCTCGAAATCAGCTGGAGGACTTGTTTAAAAAGCCCAGATGACTGGGTGGGGTTCCCAGCCCCAGAGCTGTGGATTCAGTAGATCTGGGTTGGGTCTGAGAATGCCCATTTCTAACCTGTTCCCAGGTGACGCTGCTGGTCTGGGGACCAACTTTGGGAACAACTCTGTGGGGCATCTTGGGGAGAAAAAGTAAGCGGAACCACCAGTTTCAGAATACAGAGAGGGCCGTGTGGCCATCAGCAGCTTGCAGACAACTACTGGTTCGTAAACGTGACTCCACCATCATGATTCCTGACACAGGGCGGCTTCTCAACGCCTCCAGATAAACAAGGAGGGTCTCCTCAGAACTGGCAGTTTAAGCCTTCTGGAACTTTCCACTGACTCACAATCACAGGCCGCAGCATAGAAATGAAGGTGCAGAACCGGCCGCGTTCTTCGATCAAAGCCTTCCGGACAGCCTGCTTCTCTGTTTCTTCCAACAGGAGATACTTGTCATTGACATCTTGGAGCGCGCTGTCCAGCTGGGGCTGGATGTCGCCTCGCCCTGCAAACGAGACAAGGCCCGGAGCTTGGCTTGCTGAAACAGCAGCTCCTGGAAGCAGTGTCCTCCTCCCTCGGGTCCCTGCTGGAATGGAAACCACAATTCCCCGGGACTTCTAAAAACTCATTTATTTATACCCAGAAAGGATCTGAAGAAGCTGTTTTTCTAGGATCAGCCATTTCCAATTTCCAGTGCCCAAAGGGGATGCTTGTCCTGGCTTATTTATGACAAGTAAAATGTCCTGGGGTAACATCTCCTGACTTGCATTCTGAAGAGACTAAGTTATGAAGAACAAGGTGAAGGCCTGTGGATGTTTCCAAAAATGGGCACAAGCTGGCTTTGTTGGGTCATGCTCAATGAAAGAGCCTCTGTCTGAAAGAGAAGTCTGTCCCGGAATACAAAGGGGGTGAGCATCAGCTCTCCTGGCTCTGGGGGGCCCCCTGGGACTCCTTGGCAGCTAGTTTAACTCCCTAATGGAGAGTCCTGAAGGCCCTTCCCTGTAGGACAAGCCCAGCAACAAAAAGACCCGCAGTCCAGAGCTCTGCTGGTGGAGGACTGAAAGGGGCCTGGGCACTGAGGCTGGCCCATGCCTGGGAATCACCTGGCCCCATCCACAGACCCCAGGTATGCAGAAGCACTCATTTTGAGACTTTTCAACAACTCAAGAACTTGGTGAGGCAACTGTCTTTGTAAATAAAATTTTATTTGCACACAGCCACGCCCATTCATTTACAGGCTGTCTATACCTGCTCTCATCACAACTGCTGAGTAAAGTTCTTGTGACACACACCATTTGGCTCCTGGACTGAGAATATTTACAGAAGAAGTCTGCATAAACATGGATAAACCTGGGCAAATAGACACTGTGTCAGAAGGCATGGCTATTGTAAATCTGATCTGAGGACAAGAAGGTGACCATCAGGAGACCAGCTCGCGAGCTTCCACACTGGGCTCCCAGGCTCACCTACCACCTGAACCAGAAAAAGAAATCTCTAAACTCCTTCCAGACAGAGGCATGGACTCTCCCAGCCTAGCCTGCAGTGAAATGCTCTCTGTATATACAAGTACTCAATAGGTGTTTAACAGGTGTATACAACAGTACTCAACAGATGTTTAATAGGTGTATACAACAGGTACTCAATAGGTGTTTAATAGGTGTATACAATGGGTATTCAATAGGTGTTTAATAAGTGCATACAATAGATACTCAATAGGTGTTTTAAACAGAATGTTACCATGGAGGGAGCACTAGGGTTTCTCTAAGCCAACCTGCTCCAGTTCAGAGGAGGGGAGAAGGGGGGGACTGTCCAGGGCTGTGCAGGGACAGGAAGTCAGACAGCGCCCCCGCCTGACCCTCTGACACTGGACTCCTCCTGCTCCTCCTCCACCAGCCGCCTCAAGTCGAGGGACTGGATTCCACCCGCCACCTAGAAAGGGACCTGACCAGTCACCACATACCCTCCTCTTTAAGAATGCCCCAGAGAACACTTAGATGCAATGTGTTCTTTGGTTTGAAAAAGTACAGTGTCAGGGAAAACTGCCTTGAATGTAGGAATATATTCTGTTATTTTCTCACAAGCAGATGAGAAAGCTTCCTCTGGAGCCAGAAAGGCAGTCAGGCGTCAAGAACATCCAACTAGCAAAAGTCACTGGATTTTTGGCAGGGGTTAAGTTCTAAGTTAGCACAAAAGGGGAAAATCAGGGACAAAGGTCGTCCCTGAAAATGCCTTAGATGGCATTCCAGTACAGTCAGTGGTCTGTACATGGAGTTCTCACTGGTCAGGTGAGCACACACGTGCTCTGGGTGCAGCTAAACAGTGTTTAATTCCATGTAGAGGGATTTTATCCAACAATTATGTGAGAATTTGCTCTGAGAACTTTTTAGGTGTATCAGCTACCATCCCTCCCTGACCCTGATAATTCTACCTGTTCTTCCAGTTTCTCTGCCCGGGAGCCAGTTTCACACATTACCCAGTCGCACAGTCATAGTTTTCATGAGTTTTTGTGGACAAGAAACTTGTCAGAGCACCCTTTCATTCTCCAGGGGGACTTGCAGGGAGGTGAGTGTGCGGGCACCCCAGTCCCATGAAATTGAGAATTTTCTCTATTCTTTTTTCTTTTTTTTTTACTGGTCTGAACAGCAGGCAGGATCCTAGTCTCCCAACCAGGGATCGAACCCATGCCCCCTGCAGTGGAAGCACGGACTATTAACCACTGTTCTGCCAGGGAAGTCCCAGTGGTTAGGACTCCGCACTTTCACTGCCAAGGGCCCAGCTTCAATTCCTGGTCAGGAAACTAAGATCTCAAAAGCAAGGCACAGCCAAAAACTTTTTAAAAATAAGTAAACAAAATGCTGGCTTGTGCAGCTGAATCTACACACACTGACTGTGTATATGATATAAGCCCTTTGGTGATGAAACTCCCTGTTTCTCTACCACCTGTCAAACAGCCTGGCCAAGCCTGCAGTGAGGCCACGTGGTTGTGGCAGGTCCCAAGGCCTTCTTGTGAGCCTCTCAATCTCTCCAAGGATGCTCCAGCTGAGGAACCATGGAGGACCACGGACCAAGTCAGCATGTTCTTAACTCCAGAGGCGGAAAGTTTAATTATGGTAGCAATTTCTTTCAATACTAGTCTGTAATTATAAGAAATTGAGGAAATGGGTATCTTTACTTCCTTTCACAAGTTGTAAAGCTCACATCTATCTGTGATTAATGACATTGATTTCTAAAAATACACTGACATAGGAAAGCAAAGTGACTAGAACCAAGTGCTACCTAATCTGGTAAATATAAATTTAAATCATTCTATGATTAGTCAAGTTATTTTAAATAAGTATTATGTTATAATTAAAGGACTTTCAAATTATAGTATTCTAAAATAAGTATAATCTGTAAAGATTGCTATAATTATAGACATAGTGAATACATTTCCATGTGGGATATATCATAACCTAGAAACACAATGTTTATTTCTTAAATTCAGTAACCACAACATATATTTATTTAAAAAAAAAAAACACCGTGGAAGAAATTATTCCATGTCTCAGTTGGAGATACTGGTTCTTACAGTCATCTTTTTAGGTCCACAAATTTGGAGTTGTGTTAGCACTGATTTAACACACAAAAGCCCATTCATTTCCCTCCCATCAGCAATGTTCCGAGAGCCACTGCCGACGACTGCAACAGCTCCCACGTGGACCTGACTCTGTCTCCTATTTCATCTCTGCCCTGCCGCCCTCACTGTGCCACCTCCATCTCTCACCTGGACGGCTCCATCAGTCCCTAAGAGCTCACTCTGACCGCATTTGGACGAACATGCCTGGAACAGCCCTGAATTACTTTCAAAATGCAAATCTTATCACTTTTCAGTAGCTCCCACTGCTTTCAAGAAAGTTCAGTGGGGACTCCCCTGGCGGTCCGGCGGTTAAGATTCCACACTCCTAATGCAGGGAGCATGGGTTTGATCCCTGGATGAGGAACTAAGACCTTGGATGCCACCGCACTGTGCAGCCAAAACAATCATGTCCTGAACATGGCCTGTCCTGCAAGACACGCAGAGGTCAGCTTCTGAGACCACTCTCAGTCCCCCCTCCCCTCCTCTCCTGTGCCCACTTCCCAGGCACTGCTCCAGGGTCTGGCTCCACCCACCTAAACATCCCCTCTCCCTCCGCCCCCGCTGTCAGGCATCTGTTCATTCTTAGGTCACAGTTCTTCACAGAAGCCTTCCCTGAACCCTCTGTGGCTAAATTCTCGTACTTAATTCTTAGAGATTCCTTCTACACAGCCTTCATGACCCTCCTCCCAGTTCTCATTTCATCTTTACGTCTCTAGTTCTTCCACGGATGGCAGTCACCCCTGGTGATCAGGAAGGCCCACGAGGATAGAAACCACGAATATTTTTGCCCAGCACTGTACCTTCTACCTCAGCACACCTGCCTGCAAGTCAGATACTCAAGTATTTGCAAATGAATGAGGCCTTGATAGGAACTTCCTGGGTGGCTCAGCGGTAGAGAATCCCCCTGCCAGTGCGGGTGACTCCGATTAGATCCCTGGCTTGGGAAGACACCCCTGGAGGAGGAAATGGCAACCCACTCCAGTATTCTTGTGTGGGAAATCACATGGACAGAGGAGGCTGGTGGGGTACGGTCCGGGGTGGGGGGGTCACAAAGAGTTGGACGTGACTGAGCGCGCATGCATGAGGCACTATATAATAGCACGAGCTGAGTTTGCTCACTGAGTTTGTTCAACCATTGTGCCCTTAAATGGCCTAACACTGGAAAACGAACAAATTCCAGGGCTGCCCATCAGCCAAAAGAAGAGAGGGCTTAAACAGGCTTTCCAGACAAAATTCCTGAGTAAAGCACTGCTTGTGGCCTTTTCTGTAAAAAATCATCTCAGTCTCGAGAATTTTTTTCCCCTGCGAGTTTCCAGGTCTTGGCTGGATTCATGCTGGAGAATTCTGGTGAATACAGCCAGCAGCCCCTTTCCTTTCCCCAACAGGGGAAATCATATGATTATTCTCTTTACAAAAAAGTGCTCCTGGGGCAAAAGCACTATTAATAGGCACCATGTCATGGACCAAAGCAGAACCCTCAAAGGAGAAAAAAAAGAATTGATAAGTAGGTAGGGAGAATTCACAAAGCTTTCTGGAATGAAACCAAGATTCCATATTTCCCCAACATTTACATTTTCCTTAATCTTTACAAAAACATTCAAGGCAGGAATTACCACCCCCATTTGACAGAGGGGTAAACTGAGATTAGGGTGGCGTGCAAGAGCCCCTGAGCTAGGAATGGATGCAGATAGATGCCACCTCTCCGTCTTTCCCATTCAAAAGCCTGCATTCTCCATAGCTTCATGCTCATAGCACACATAAGCCCTGCGATTAGAATCCCATAAGATGACTTCCATATGGCCCTGACACACTCATGCAAATACTACATTTCATCTGAAGATGCCTGCTTTTTCATGTTTATACTTTAAAAATTAAGATTCATCTTACAGTCAGTAGGAGTCATAGTTTATACAGCATTTAAG